CAAAAAATTTTTGCTTCATGATGTGTTTTTCTTTTTTCGAAAGGTTGCATAGCTCGAGAATCCTATAGATGTGGCTTTAAACCAGCTTTGTATTAGGCAAGCGAATATAAAAATATTCAGATAGTAACCTGTGCCAAGTTCTCGGTCAGTGGAATTAAGCAGAAGGGCCGTGGGGCCTACGCTATCGTTACTTTCTCAGCTCGCCTTACTTTTGTCCTCGTCCCCGCAAAATGATCGCCTGGAACAAGCTCTTGCACTCACCGAATTTCAATGTAAAAAAAAAATCTTGCAACTTCAGTAATCAAATTGATGTTTTGAGTCCAAATCTCTTCATGCTGTATCTATTCGGGAGATACCCAAGGGCTTAGGAAACTTATTTACATTTCGTATTACAAATAAACAGTAGCTTCAATTTGGAGAGAAAATTTGCTAGGATATTTGTTTGCAGACATTATCTATTCCGAGAAACGAACAGGTATCCGAGAGCGAAGCTCGAGCAAAATTGTGGCACGAAGGAACATACAATCTCCAAGGCCAAATACACGACTTAACTTTTGGTGCCAAATGCAGACCACTTTGTTCATTCTTCAAACATATTTGCAGGGCGATGAATAAAATGTTTACGATCAGCTTACCGTTTATTGTAGGGGACACTCACTCCATCTGTAACAACCACAAAACGCTCTCTCGCCTTGAATTAGATTTACTTGAGGTGCTTAGAACTTTATCTTTCCTTCCTCTTACAGACAGTCGTCACAACCTCGTCCTCAACAGTTGGTGAGATTTTGTTTAATTGCTTTTAATAGTATAGAGAAGTTGATATGCTCGTTAAGTTTTAAAAAGATTCATGATCAAAGGAATATCGATGCTCTCTTGAATCTTGTTGCTATCATATTTGCTGCTTGAGTCGTGCTTTTCTCCTTTAAAGTCAAATCTTTCTTGATTTCCTGTCTATTTATGTGTATAACATTGTTTATTTCAGGGGTTCGAAAAACCTCGTCGACCTCAGGTGAGGAATAAAGGCTGCTAGTTTCTAAAGAAACTGTTTGGGGCTGCGTCGGTGGGGGTAACGATAATTTAGTTTTCCGAGCTTTCGCCGATCTCATGGCATCATCAGGAAATATAGATGGAATCTTTGAAGTGAAGAGTATATCGGGTGAGGTGTTAGGCTAGAGAATAGGGGTCCGATGCTCTCTTGGATCTTGTTGCTATGATATTTGCTGCTTGAATTGTGCTTTTCTCTTTTAAAGTCAAATCTTTCTTGATTACCTGTCTATTTATGTGTATAACATTGTTTATTTCAGGGGGTGGAAAAACCTCGTCGACCTCAGGTGAGGAATATCAGCCTGCTGTAGGAAAGTGATGAAAAAGCTAGATAACTCAAAAAGAATAGGTTTTAAATTATTACTTGTCGATTTCTCATCGCTTTTGTCTATCTGCCTCAACTCGTTTGGACCAAGGTAAGCTTGAGAATTCTCGTAAATCATTGCAACAAACTTCTATTGGACAGAAAGACCCCTTGAAGAAGCCTGATAAGTCTTTCTCTTAACACGCGAGAAATTCAGTCATAACACTGTTTTGAACTATCTGATCAATTCCTCCCCACATACCTAATAATCGGGATAGAGTAAAAGGTTTAGATTTTGAGACGCCTTAATTAAAAATATCTGAACACAATTAAGAGTCAAGCTAATCTGAGATTGTATTTTTTTCTGATAATTTCTTTTTTTTAATAAATAAGCTAAAGCTAAGAATTGAATGTGACGTTATGATTGTGCGTCCGTCTGTACAAACGGGAAACTGTAGTTTGCTTGGGCTACAATCTAAAATTAGACGGGCTCGGTATTCTTGACCGTAAGAGGTTTTAATTTCGCTCTAACTGATACCTCTTCACCGCTAAGTTATTTTTTCGGTCTTCAAAAAATTCAAGATTACCCGAAAATATTCTCGGATATTTGTCTGCGGACATTATTTATTCTGAAAACCAAACAGGTCTCCGAGGGCGAAACTCAAGCAAAATTGTAGCATGGAGGAACAGATAATGTCCGCGGCCAAATACACATCTTATCTCTTAGCGCCAAATGCAGGCCATTATGTTTATTCTTCAAATATATTTGCAGCGAGATGAATAAAATGTTTACGATCACCTTACCAATTACTGCAAGGGATACTCACTCCTTCTGTGACAACCACAAAACACTCTCTCGCCTAGAATTGGATTTTAACGCAGACTCTTATAATATGGGACGCAAGAACCCAAACTGGGGAATATCGCTAGTGGAATATTTCGTAAAGAAACTCTTTGATTCAGGTGCCGGGCCGGTATGTCGGCTGATAATGTCCCGGTCTGAGATGTGCCACTAATGTAGCTTTGGAAAGTTGGCTGATACCGGAAATTTTGTGATATTTAAGGCTTTAGATATAGAAACTCTCATATTCACAACAATTGTGTTTCATGTCACTGTATTCGTTTCTATTTTTGAGGTTAAGACATATCAAAGTCGCGTTCGGGGATCACAACAAAAACTTCTCGCAAATGTCCCCCTCCTCTTCATATTCGAGTTTAAAAGACTAGTAAAAAGTGTACAATGTAACAGGTTTCGTGCATTCGATAATATAGCTTTCTACTTGTTCCTTCTTGAGGTGCATATAACTTTATCTTTTCTTCCTCTTACATACAGTCGTCACAACCTCGTCCTCAACAGTTGGTGAGTTTATGTTTAATTGCTTTTAATAGTATAGAGAAGTTGATATGTTCCTTAAGTGTTAAAAAGATTCATGATCAAAGGAATGTCGATGCTCTCTTGGATCTTGTTGCTATCATATTTGCTGTTTAAATTTTGCTTTTCTCTTTTAAAGTCAAATCTTTCTTGATTTCCTGTCTATTTATGTGTATAACATTGTTTATTTCAGGGGTTCGAAAAACCT